TTTTTGGCATTTCCGGTAGCGGGGAAAAACTTATGTACAGTGAGCCACACTCAAAATAGCTACTTGTTTTTATAGCCTTCATCATACTGTGTACAGGGTATTATGTCTTTGTGCATATGTTTGTAACAAGCTAAAGGAAACGAGATAGACACATGGTTCCTTTCTGAGTCGATTTATGCATGTCCGTCCGTCTGTTGGTGTTAAATTGTGAACAAAGTACAGCTCGCATTTATAATCCGATTTGGATGAAATTTGGTACCGCTCATTTGTTGGTCCAAGGACGGACCCTATTGAAATTGGGGAAAATCAGTTTAGATTTAGATATAGCTCCCATATATATTTTCGGGCGATTTTATGTAAATAGTGTACTAAAGTCCCTATATTTACTTCAATTTGCCACAGCGTACTGAATCAAGAGTGATGTGAGCTAAGTTTTGTGAAAATAGGTTCAGATTTAGATATAGCTTCCATAAATAGTTCCGTCCGTTTTAATGTAAATGGTACACCAATGTCCCTATAATTCTTTCGATTTGCACGAAATTTGGCATAGCGTACTGAATTGAGTCTAGAATGATGTGTGTTAAATTCGTAAAAATTGGTTCAGATTTAGACTAAGCTCCTGTATATATATCCCTTCGATTGGTGCAGATGCAGGCACAGCTTCCATATATATTACAAACGGGTATCTGATTAAGACGACTATATACTTGCCCGAATGAAATGAAATTTAGCATACATGACACCCCAAGCGATCTCTGGCCCATAGTAATATCCGCTATATAATTATCATACGCGTTTTTTATGCAATCGAAAATTTTAGCCATACTTTCCAATATTATTTGTTTGCAAGTGGAGTTGGATTCATTGCAAACAAGTTTCAGAATCCCTTAGATGCATTGCCGAACATAACGCTTTTTATATTTGCATTAAATAATTTAACAAATTTTGTAATTAAATTCCAAAAGAATTTAAATGCATCCAAATCTGAAGATTTTGTACACCATGTCATGCCAGATTACATTTACGCTGACACTATCAAGTTTCATGTCCGTTAGACAGCATGACATGGCGGCATGCTTCCTTGTGTGTATATACATACATATTTATTATAGCGACACTATTAGTTCTACTGCTGCCCTCTTGTGATATCTTAAGTTGGTCTTTAGCAAATATTCTTTCATTTGGCAAAACAACTTCACCAAAGAAGAAGAAGAAGCAGCCGGAACATCCAACTCTAAAGATGAGACAATTTATTTCCTCCATTGCTGCTACTGCTACTGTGTTATCTTGTATAAGTGGTATGTGTCTCCTCTAAACCCTCTTACATATATTTTACAAAACTATTTTTGCACTCTTCTGCTCTTCTTCCATGCCGTTTGACCTTTGAACTTTGGGTTAATTACTATGTTAAGCATAAGACGACGGCTAATTCGTATTCACAAAGCATCGTCATAATCCAACCCACACGCCAAGCGGAATAAGAATCAAAGCTAGGCAAGACAAGACTATTGGGCGACGTTGAAAACGTTTAGTACGATTCGTTGTTTGTCGGTTTGGGGGGCGGGGGTTCTTGTGTTGGTGATATTTGTTGCAAAATTACTAAAAATATATACATTTAAAATTCAGATTAATGCTGTCGTTTTATATTCAAATCATTGTCATAATCCCAATTGTTGTGTTGTGTTCATATTCCTAGTAACTGAATCCAAAAAACGACAACAACAACAAAATAATAATAGTCGCCATGGGTCATATTCGACCGACAGGTCAAAGGACATTTAATTTTTATAATGCCACGTGGTGATTATTATAATCACCTTTTTAATAATATTTGCAAAGAGAATAAATACATTTTTGTAAAATGGCTATAAAGAATTGTGGAAGTTGATAGAACTTTTTGAAGTGTTGCAGAGCGATGATTACCAAACAAAGGCCCTAATATACTGATAATGTTTTCATCGTCATAGTTGAGGTGATTTTTAATATTTATAATATAAACATAAACATATTATGTTCGAAGAGCTAATATTTGAAAAGTGGTATATCGATTTCCTGGTTTAATTTTTACTTATTCCATGTTTTTTTCGGTTCTCAGTGATGTGAAAAAGGCCCACATATGACGCTTGTGGTAATACTGCAAGAATATGTCGTTCTGGAATTATACATGGGTGAACGATAATGTATCGGCACAATTGGAGTATATCTACTCAAGAGTGACTGTACATATATGGCTGGTCTAGTAATGAAAATGCGAATATTTATTATTGTATTCTCCAACATGATTTAAATATTATGTTATTGTCAGTTTCAGATAATTTAGAGGGAAGGGAGTAAACGATTTTATCCAAACTTTACACATCTTCAAACTTAAATGATGTTCGAAGATGGAGAATATTAGTCCACTCCTTCTGGTACTTCCCACAAAAAATGGTCAACATTTGGCTGAAACTTAATTTTGTAATATCACTTTGATTCAAACTTTGCAAATCGTATTAATTTTTCCAAACCTAGATCATGCCAGGAGATGGGATCCAACGATCCACTCCTTCTGGTTCATCCCCCACAAACATTCAAACACATACTTCTATATATAGGACTACCCTCTGCACAGATGGTCAACTAATCGATAAAAACATTTTCCTTATATAAAGCGAATTCAGTGTGTAGTAATTCCGTGGACCTCCACAAACCATAGGCTGGGGGTATTCATCTGTCGGCAACACCGACTGACACTTTTTACATATAACGATTTACGCATGTCCGTCAGTCTGTCTGTCCGTCTGTCGAAATCCCGATAGAGATCGCAATATTTAAGATAGAGCTCTGAAATGTTGCCAACACATTGCTGGTACTCCTAGAATTTTTGCTATATATCGGTCCTCTTTTTTGTGTAGCCCCATATAACGGTAACCTCCCAATTTTCGGTATTTTGCGGATTTTGTACACACATTGCTGGTACTCCTAGAATTTTTACTATATATCGGTCCACGTTTTTGTGTAGCCTCATATAACGGTATCTTCCCAATTTTCAGTATTTTGCGGATTTTGTACACGGGTTCCAACCGAATTGGCTGTAATTTGGTAATTGGGGCTCTAATTGTATAGCACATCTCCGTACCAAAAAAAAAAAAATAACCCCCATATAACATTACCGCCAATATTCGGTATTGGAGCTATAATTTTGTATTTGGGTTCTCATTGTATAGCATAAAAATGTTTAATATTGATCCACGTTTTTCAATCAAATTAATTGTAATATGGTATTTTGGGTTCTCATAACGGTACCACGACATCTCCCAACTAAAAATTTTTATTGACGACCCAAATCGATATTTTGAGAATTTTGGACACGTTTTTTAAACCGAATTTGCTGTAATTTGGTATTTTGTTTTCTCATTGGCTGTCAAATCTCAATACCAATAAATATCAATATTGATCTTTTTATTATAGTCCCATATAACGGTATTCCACTATTAGATATTTTGAGAGATGCAATCATCTTTTTCGATATTTTCAAGGTCCTGTCATAACATGAGTTTTCTCCTAAAAGCCCCCACTAATTTTAGATATTTTGATTGTCATCCTCATGGTGGAGGGTATAAAAAGTTCGGCTGTGACAAACTTAATATAGTTTTTACTTGATTTTTCCTATAATTGATCCGACATTTTGGATTCATTTCATTTGATTTCAAAGATCTGAATTCATATTTGCCATTATTGATCATAATTCAACAAAACGTTTCCAACAATAATTGGTTAAATTCAATTTGTTTTAAAAATTTGACAGCCATTTTCGATCCACCCTATTGAATGTATAAATTTTTCTTGCAGAATCTTAAACAGCGTCCCCGAAACATTTATTTGTGATATTTATTTATTTCATAAACCCCTGCTCTAATTATGGCTAAAAATCGGATATCTGGTCCATAGTGAAGTGGGCCAGAGATTCCATTCCAACCATTAAAATAAAAGTAAACGTAATTGTTTCTTTGTATCAAAAATGTTATTCCTTACTGTATATATTTCCAACAAACGTCTAATTTCCTCTCAACCGACACTGTGCAGACAATATAATATGCTAAGCAATCCATGTTTTCATCTTGAATTGTCATATAAAATAAAAAAAAAAACAGAATTAATACTCGTTAGCATGCAACATGTCGGTATTTAGGTTATCAACTTAACCCAGCAGAAATATTTCAAATCATCTGAGGTCATCTTAACAATCATTGTCATCATCATCGGCATCGGCTTCGACAACGCCGTCATTGTCATCCTTATGACGATGACAACGGTACCTTAACCCCCTTTCGAACATAGTTTTTTTTTTCTCTCGTCTGCTATAAAAGTTTGCAAACACACACACACATACACAGAGAACATCGCATAATAACCTACTCGAGATAATACCGAATTAAATATTTATGTTTGAAATTCAAGTAGGAAATGAATGCTGTTCTTTGCAAGGAGTAAACAAAAGGAAATCAAGGTTAGATTTTATGTCGCTTTTCATGCAATGAAATATTAAGAGCTTCGGTGGATAAATTTATTAATATGGGTTTCTGGAGAGAATTTGAAAATTTTTAAAATTGTGAAAATTTTTACTACAGAACAAACTTGTGAAGAAAGTGTCAAAGTGGGGAGGCAATATATGCCCTATTAAAGAACAGAAGCCTGCTCATATACATATTTAGAATATATTTAACCACTACTCCAAATGAAGTTGCGGACACTGATGTGTGTATAGATGTCCACAATTTCCTCGATGATTATCTTGAGAAATGGACAACTGTCTACACTATTAACTATTTTCCTTCATTTTTAAATACAACAAATTATCAAGCTCTCAACATCAATTTGATATTAATCTTCATAATATTATTTTTTCTCATTTCTTTTCAGCCTTTAGAATATAGACAACATCCATAGAAACACTCACTCACACACACCAACACACATACATCCAGTCATTGACTAAAGACAACTTCCTCTCTCTCTCCAACTGGCATTTGTAGCAGATTTATATCTGCTCAGAGAATGCCATATGAAAGAATGCACCACACACAACTGCATCAGACGACAACCGGTAACGGTATGATGGACTCGTTAAGCCTGCAATTACGAGATGCGGAAACGCGTCGTGCGGAAATCGAGAGAGCACATCAGGTAAGCCTTTAGTGGGGGCAATTTTAAGTGATAGCAAATTTAATAAATTAGTTTAGATTAACGGCTGAAAACGGCAAAAACAAAATCACTGAGATGTGAAAATAAATTTTGAAAATTGTTTTCAGGAAACCTTGGCACAAATTCGCACTCTCAGCTCCTCGGGCAGTCGTCAGGACATAGAAGCCATAGAAAATTTACAATCTCGTGCCAGAGAATTGGAGAAAAAGGTAAGTTTGTGGTGGATGGAATGAGATTAGTGGTGGAGTGTGATAAAGACTGCAATATTTTTATAATCGAAAATAGATAACGGTTAAACGAATTGCATTTTTATCGCAACGGGACCGCAAGAAATATAAAAAAAAATATTAAAAAATCTATAATATAATCTTCTGGTTTTTTAGGCTGCTTTGGAAAATGTCCGCTGCGAAGAATTACAAATTGAGTTATCCGCTGCCATGAAAACAAAATCTGCCCGCGCCAGCAATGAAGCAGATCTACACAATATGGCGGAAATGCGCAATGCTGCCGAAATGAGAAATCTAAATGAAATGCGCAACATTCAAGAGATGCGCAATAATGCCGCCGCTGCAGCAGCTGCTGCCACCGCCGCCTCCAATATGAGAAATATGTCTGATATGCGTAATGCGGCCGAATTGCGAAATATGACCGCCTCGGATATGCGCAATTTAACTGAAATGCGAAACATGTCGGAAATGCGTCAAATGGATATGCGAAATGCCGCCTCAGATATGCGTAGTGCCGCTTCGGATATGCGTAATGCCACATCAGATATGCGCAACATGTCCGATATGCGTTCGACAATTGGCGTCTCGTCGAGTGGCCCACCAGTATCATCGGGCACCACCACATCGGTTACCTGGGCGCCAACGATCGGTCGCGAGGATCAGGGTTCAGAGATCGATATCATAATGGCTAAAATTGAACAGGCACGTTTATCTCTAGCTAATGTATGTCCGTTTCTTCTTTTGTCTTTTTTGTGTGTCAAAATACACGTTTCATGTCAATCCATGAATGGTTCATGACGTCACAGTTAGTAATACATGCACCCCGTGAAAATATCCCCAAGCGCTTTTGATGCAATTGAATTTTATTCTCTTCTTATGTTATTGTTGTAGTTTAGATTGTTTAATTATTTTTAAGTAGTTTTTGTGTTTGCTTTGTATTTGTTATATATTATGTTTTATATATAATATTTTTTGTATATCGATATTTTTATAAGAATATCTCACAAAGTGTTCAAGGGACAGTATTTGATCAGTACCAGTCTCTCTGTCACTCTCTATGGATTTGCCATTTTTTCGATGTTCAAAGATTTTTAGATCTGAATATCCTGTTTTTCTTTTTGTTTTTTTTTATTTTTTTCGAATATAATGTTTAAAAAATTTAGAAACCCGGTTCTTTTTTCCTCGAAATTTATTTTTTGGAATTTTAGTGACATGAACAAATAACGCAAAATTTGTTGAAATATATGTACCATTAAAACATTAAAATATCGATTTCTCCTCTTGGAGAACCCAACATAAAATTATATGAGGAATATTTTTGTAGAATATTGCGAGGATTAAAAATTGAATCTTGTTTTAATTGGAGTCCGGTTTAATAAATTAAGGACGAAAAGGACACATCCTTGTGTCTGCTTTCGAGCTAGAAGGGCGAAATGTTTTACAAAAAAATCCTCATTCGATTTGATCTGAAGTAATACTTACAATAACTACAAATCAATTATAATAGTAATTATAATAAGAAATTATCACGTCATATCTCCGAACTTATGGCGAATTTTTCCTTCTGGGGTTTTCATATAATCACCAAGGTCTTTCATCCCCATTAGGAACTTTCTACCCCCGCCCAAAATCTTGTCGCACAGTGCAATTATATTTAAATCCATAATTCAAAGTCCTCATAAGTTGGAGGTTTTTTTCCGAGATAATTGTGATTCGAGTTATGGAAGTTCGACTGGAACTATCCCATATAAAAAAGGTGAACCAAAGTGACGAAATTTTGCATAGCCTAAACTAACCATAAAATTATATTTGACCCAACCATATTAAGTCTAAAACGGCTCAGATAAAATATAAATAGTCCGATTTGATGTTTGTCCAATCAAATGGGAATTTGTCACATTCAACCAAATACCTAAGAAGCGATTCCATAGAAAAAATCCCAAGGAGATCTGTAACTTATTATGGAAATTTTTTACTAAAATCTCAAAATTTGTTATGCTGCTACTAAACATTACTAACCATGAACCGATGTTGCTTATTTTGACAGGGCAGTTTATAAAATGTTAAGGATTTTTTTAGATAGTAAATGGCGCCCAACTTATTTCCATATATATAAAAGAGCTCAGACTTAAGTGAGTGACTGACAGATCATCGCCCAGACGAAACGGCTAGAGCTATATACAGTAAAACGTGCTCAAAAAAGGACAGTTAATAAAATGTTAAGGATTTTTTTAGATAGTAAATGGCGCCCAACTTATTTCCATATATATATAAAAGAGCTTAGTGTTAAGTGAGTGACTGACAGATCATCGCCAAGACGAAACGGCTAAAGCTAGAAATGCTGAGTGTGGGTTGTTCTTGGTTTTTGCAAATTCTAACTAGAAGGGTACGAAAAGTACTAAAATATACCAAATATGGCACCCTATGTATTAGGCGAATGAGAAGATCTAGAATTTGGAATGTGAGTCACTGATGGAAAGTTAGAAAGATGTGCAAAAGGGTTTGTGGAAATTTGACCTATAAGTGTACTAAAAGTACTAAAATTTACTAAATTTAGTTCCAATTGTATATATATATATATATATTGAACATATTGAACAAATATAGCTAGAATCTTCAAATTTTAAATGGAATACAGGTAGGGAAGTGGTGTTGATGTACGGAAATGGTTTAAGACATTCGTACTTATGTGTATAAAAAGTACAAAATGGTACTAAATTTGGTACTGTTTGCATTCAGTTAAGTGTGTAGAGATGGAATCCTGATAATCGGAATTAGGACTACTATTGGAGTACAGGATTGAGGTAGCTTTGCAAAATCGTTCTTATTTGTACAAAAAATTTACAAAATGGTACTAAATTTGGTGCAAGATGGATTTATGTGAACAGATTTAGCTGAAGTCTTCAAATTGGGAATTGAAATGACTGTTGGAGTGTAGGACTGAGGTAGAGTATGAAATTCGTACTTATTAGTACGAAAGGTACTATATGGTACTAAATTTAATACAATTTGGGGTTTGCTTGGAAGGATAGAACTGAAAACCTGAAATTTGGAATTGAGATTCCTGTTGAAGATTGAGCTATAGAGACATGTTTGGAAACTCGTATTTATGTGTACGAAAAGTACTAAACGGCACTAGATTTGGTACAATTTGGATTTTGGTTGAATGGAGAGAGCTGGAAACCTAAAATTTTGACTAATGGTTGATGTTGGAATATAGAATTGAGATATGGAAGCATAGTATTTATGTGTACTAGATGGTACTATATTTTGTACAACGGATAGAGCTGGACTCCAGAATTTTGGAATTAAAATTACTGTTGGAGTGTAGGATTGACATAGTTTAGGGATTTTTTTGAATTGAATTTTGAATTAATATTACAGTTGGATTGCAGAATTGAGATATGTCGATAGTTTTGAAAATTCCGCATTATGTGTACTAAATGGTATAAAAATTGGTACAGTTTTGATTAAAGTTAACGGATAGAGATAGTAAACTTAAATTTGGAATAAAAATTACAGAATTTAGGAAGTATTGGAATTTCGTACTTATGGATACGAGAATTACTAAATGATACTAAATATGGTAGAATTCGTTTTGTGTGAGCGGGAATTCTAAAATTTGGATTTAAGTTTGAAAAAAATTGTTTTAAAAATACGTAATTATGTGTACTAAATGGTACTAAGTTTAGTACAATTTAGTTTTGAGTGAAAGGATAGAGATGGATGGATTTGAAAATAGTGTTGGAAATTCGAAGACATAAGTACGAAAAGTACTAAATGGTACTAAATATGGTACAATTTGGATCTCTGTAAACGGATAGGGCTGAACGTTGCAACTTAGTTTACTCTGGGAGTGTAGGAAAAGTACAGAATGATACCAAATCTGGTACAATTTAGTGAACAGATAGAGCTGAAATTCTTAAATATGGACTTACGATTGAAAGCAGGTTTGGAATATTGAGATTGGTTTGGTATATGGTACCAAATATGGTACAGAATGATACCAAATCTGGTATAATTTGGTTTTTAATGAACAGACAGAGCTGGAATTCTTAAATTTGGACTATTTGAAATCAGGATGAGGTAGATTTGGATATTCGTACTTATGAGTACGAAAGATACTAAATTTGGTACAATTTGGACTTTGGTATAAGTAAGATTACTTTTAGAGTGTAGGATTGATGTAGTTTTAGAAATTATTACTTATGAGTATGAAAATTACTAAATTTGAAAAAACAATTGGAGTTGGTTGAATTCTGAGATTTGGAATTTAGATTTCTGTTGAAGTGTAGTATTGAGCTATGGAGACAACTTTGGAAACTTGGAGTTTTATGTACCAATAGTAAATAGAAAATTCACTAAATTTTGAACAATTCGGATTTGGATAACGGAGAGAGCTGGAAACCTAAAATTTTGAATGTTTGTCGCTGACAGAGGGTTAGAAAGAAGGACCCAAGGGGTTTTTGGTACCAATTGGTACTAAAGAAGTAAGTACGAAGTAGCCGGTACTTTTCTAGTTTCCATATAATTAAAATTTTCGTTATTTCTGAAACAATGTTATGAGAGCTGAGTTATAATTACATTTACATCGATTTAAACAAATAGAGTAGTCAAATGACGCCCAATCTTGAAAATCCTGTAAATCAGACGACAACGGTCTGTAGTAGATTAGGTTTTATTCGGGATACCTTAGAGATATGACTACCAAAATTTATTTTAGATAGAAATTTGTTTCAAAATGGGATACAATTTAAATATAATAAAAATACCCGTTATTTTCGAAAATATGCCACGAACGGTTTCTGACCTAAATGTTAACTCAGACCACTTTGTAAGCATGGTAATGCAAGCTTTACGTTACATTTAATTAGTTCAATATTATTATTGTCAGATTTTCTGATCGCTATAGAGGTCATTATTTTTTGCAGAACGTCACATATTTCATACGGTGAAGGGAATCTGACCAAATACTTAGAAAGGCTGTTTAGATGATGACTAGTCAATATTCCGAAAGACAAATCTACCAAAACCTAAACGGACCAAATTTTGTATTTTATGGCGTAAATATTCACCTCTGGAAAATAAGACTTCGAAAATATGCCAGTGTTAAAAAGTCGAGCCGTTGACATATAATTTGTCAAAAGGGTGCAAATATCGGTAATTATTTGCAAAAGCTCAGAATATAGAACCGCAGAAAGGTAGATTTCCGTGGTAGTTGTGTAGGGTATCATATGTTCGTCCCCGTTTGACTTTACTGCTCCGCTCACTGGTTTTATTTTCACTTTAGTTTCCATTCGTGTAATATTATTACCCAATCTGCCCTTCCAAAAAATAAATCGACACTCGAAAGGCTTATTCCAATACATGGACCTAAATTAATTGTTTTCAGTAAAAAAAATACTGTCAACTTTTAAAAAACTTGAAACACAAATTACAAACAATTTTCATCGGCGACAAGGTTAAAACTTACAAAGCACTGCAAATGTGGAGTTCTCCTCATTTGGCGGTTATTACAAAAGAGCGTAGAGCATTTTCAATACTAACAGACGGACAACCCAAGTATTTTTATAATATCACTGCTTACTAAATATCCAATACATTAGATAAACATTTCAGCTCAGAAATATTCGATTTCAATATTTAGAAATAAATTTCAGAATTTCAGGGGGCTGGAAACTGCCAATATACTTTTAAAGATTCAAAGAATTTATGGTATATTTGCATTCTTCAGAATTTATGAAATTCAGAAATTTTATTTCTTTCGATGTGAGCATTTCATAACATACCGCTCATGATTCTAAAAATTGTTCACATTACTATTCTCTGTTTCAACAGGATAATCGAGTTTTGGCCGAACTAGAACATCCCCGGACATCAGCAGCATTATCAGCCATGCCATCAAGTTCCATATTGAATACAAATAGCGAATTTAAAACCATATCAAAAACAGGTAACTACCGAATCAAATTAATTTTAAACAACAAATTCTAATTCAAATCAATTTTTTCTTGCAGAACTTGAAGAAGAACTGAATCGTTATAAGCGAGCTGTATTGGGTGGTACGACCGGTGTAACGGCTGGGACCATTGGCAGTGGTGCTCTAACAGGCTATTCATCGGCCCTTACCTCAAGTCTACCCAATGGCAGCAGTGCTCCCGGCGGTGTTGTATCCAGCCTATCGGCGACTACCGCACACGCTCCGGGCACAGGTCTAACATCCATATCGGCTTTAGTGCCAAACTCAATCGGTGGCATTTCCTCGAGCATGAGCAGTCATGCCATAACCGCTGCAGCAGCATCTGCGGCATATGGTGGCGGGCATGCGGGTACATCGGCGGTGGACAAGCTGTTAAGTGGAACAAGTGGAATCACTGGCATTCCACCATTGCCGGTAAATATTCATACGATGAAGTCTATGCCATCAGCATTAAGTCAGGTAAACTACCACAATTCTTCAACTTCTACTACTACTACCGCTACAGCTAACTATTGATACAACAACTACAGCAATAGCATAGCAATAACCCACCAATCATACATGAGCATACATACATACTTACACCCGCTTAATTCGCATTATAAATCGCTTACTCATGATAATCACTCGCACGCACACACACATTACACAATTTTATCACCCATTCGTCGACATACACTGACTTTGCACAAAGTTTTGTTTTCTGTTTTCCATACTGTACATACATACATCCATATGTTTTCACGCATTTGTGCCTTGTTCGCATATTGAAGTAAAAATTAGGTCCGATAAGTTTTCATTCGCCCCTCACCAGCAACGGCACAATCCATTCATTCATTCATTCGTTCATTGCCTTTGTCAAACCGATTCGAATCAAACACTTCCTTGACCTGTCCAGACACAGTGGATCACCACCGCATTATCATACCACCCCTCGTTTTGTTTCGTTTCGATTCCCAGATATTATCAATGCTGTTCTGTGTGTGTGTATGTGTGTTCGCGCACACATTGTACAGTTTGTATATATGTGTGTATGCGTGCACTACTAGTTACTTCTACGTTACGTAGCAGCTGAACGTTAAGTGGACGTAATGGATGGCGTAATGTTATCGTTTCTTGTTTGCTTCTTTTTTATTCCTATTTTGCCTTTGTTCGTTCTGGCGCTTCCGTTAATGTTTTGTAAATATCAAGTGCCTACCTAATTGTATTGTTTCCTTCTAGTTCATTTCCTTTTGTTTTGTGTCTTTAGTTATCTGGACAGTTGATTTGGCTGTCTGTGAGTGTGTGTGTTTTTTCTTTCTGATATTATCTCAAATGTAATTTTCTGAGCAACGAGATTATTTAATTAATTTCACTTTTTGTTTTTTTTCGTTGATTTTTTGTATGGTTCTGTCACATACAAGTTTACTTCTTCTGCACTATTTTGTTGGAGGATGCTAAGCCAATGTTCGAGAATTATTATTAATTTTCGTCATTTAGAATGGAAATGCGAATGGATGAGATTACATTTTTTCTTAAATTGTCAAGGGATCCAATTTTGTTGGTTGACCATGTGGAACATTTTCTTCGGATGTTTTTATTTTTAAGAAAAGTGTTGTGATTGAGGTTGGCTTTATTTGCAATGAAATTTCCACTATATTATACTGTCACGACTTCTGTTGTAATTAATAATGGGCAACATTTTGGGGACATTCTAAAAAGTGGACCTATCCAACAAAACCCTAAAACGTCAACCATTACCCAATAATTTAGAGGGCATAATTATATGAAGTTATACCTAAATATTGATTACTTCTGTTAGGAATATTTGGAATGACTCTAAATATTCAATATACCGAAAATCATACGATTTTTCTAAACGAATGTCGAGAATTACTATGCCCACAAAATATAAATTTCAGCATCCTTAAATGGAGATATCTTAAAATTCCACATTGAAATACTCAAATAAAATACTCAAAATACTGGAAAAAAAGTTACATGTGGCTACACTAAAAAAGGACCTCTGGTATAACTCATTTTCGGACCGAACCTTTTAGTTTTATATCTCGACATATAAAATACCTAATTTTAATTGGGATGAATCACTTTATAGGGGCTATGCCTAAATTTGGACCGTTACACTATATTTTCGAACCTGATCTTTTAGTTTTGTATTTCAATGTCCTTTAACGTTAGTATGATTCTTAGAATGCCATATTTTGTAGGATATAAACAGACAATTTCGAGTTCAGAATATTCCACATTATATGGTGGAATAAATATGGGGACAACTCCTACACGCGGATCAAATCAGTTGACTATTTTAATATATTGCGGAATACCGTTATATGGGGGCTCGAACTTAACATGCCAGCAGACAAAAGACAACTCTATGCAAAATTTTGGGGTATATCTCAATTCGTTAAGAGACTAGAGTGATTAAAATGGACAGACACATATGTAAATCATCATAGAATTTTACGCTGTTTATATTGGTTGGGGAAAAAGAAATCCATTATTTTTTCGGCAGATGGCTGTACTGATAGATTTCTCCCGAAGTATCGATAAAACAATTTCAGATTTATGCTCGTTGGAAGGGTGACATTTCGAAGTAAACAATTATTTTGCTGTTTTTTGTTTGGTTCATTATGTTGCCTGATACAGGGTGTTAAAAATTTATGTGAACAATGAGAAAATTCGGTACATTTTACAGTTTTTCTTTGATAAAGGCGAAAATGCAAGCCAAGCGGCTACAATTGTGAATGGTGTTTATGGTTCCGATATTCTAACAGAAAATTATGTGCAATCTTGGTTTTGGTTTGGCCAGAAGTGGACAACAGGTGAGGTGGCGTGTTCCACCAACCAACGCTGGGCCACCCATGCTTTTAAAGGTAACTCCATAATGCCTCTCTCATAGAAGTTCCGCTCTTTTTGTAAATCATCATTAAACAAATTTTGCAATGCAAGAAAAATAGGATAATTGCTTGGTGTCAATCCTGGCCTGTGCATTTAAACTTCCCAACCAAGCTTCCGAAGTTTCTGTTGAGTCACTGTAGATGTATGTGTCCTAGGGTTGTCCTGGTGGAAAACGACACCTCTCCTGTTGGCCAATTCCGGCCTTTTCTGGTCAATTGCTATCTTCAAATTGTCCACTTGTTGACAGTAGAGATCAGAATTTAGCGTTTGGCCATATGGAAGCAACTCATAATAAATAATCCCCTTCCAGTCCATTGCATAGCAGAACCTTCCTGGCCGTTAGTCCTGATTTGGCCACCGTTTAAGGTGTTTCACAGTTCTTTGACCACGATCGTTTTCGCTCAGGGTCATCGTGTGTGATCCATTTCTTATCTCCAGTCACTATCCGTTTAAGAAATGTTCAAGGCTTCGCAGATGGATTCCGTTTGGTCAAGACTTCGCAGATAGAGATTCGATCCATGCTATTTTTTTCTGTTAATTGGTGTGGCACCCAAACATCGGACTTCTTTTTGTATCCAGCTTAGTGTAAATGGTCGATTTTTAGCTCCTGGGCGATGTTACGACTGCTAACATCGGTCAACTTCGATCACTTCTCCAATTTTATCGACATTTTCGACGACCGGTCCAATGAATTTCTTTATCCCCAGCCCAATATAACTTTTTAACGAATGTAATAAACGTGATAATAGTTTGGCTCAAATCGGATACTCCATTCGCATCATATTATACAATTAATACAATAATTTTCAACAAAGTGTTTGTTATTTTTTTTTTTTTTTGGGAGATAAAAAAAGATTTGAACCGATATTTCCTATTTTAGAACTTGATTTAAGTTACGTTAATTAAATCGCCTACTCCCTTTGAAAATTATCAAGTTTTTATAATGTACTTATTATTTGAAAATCACGACGAAAACATGTTAATTTTTTTAGAATATTTGTAGGTGGAAAAATCTCGTCATGTAGTATTAAATTTAGGGAAAACCCTCAAGGACTCCAAATAGAGGCAGGATATGTTTTACAAAAAAAAAGACATGTCATCATAAAAATAACTCAATAACTCTATCCTCAAAAAAAATAGATAAGCCTTTTCTTAGCGAAAATAAGCAAAAGTAAAGTTTAAGTAAAAAAAATGCATCACGCCTAAAATTTGACCTATAACGAATTTATCATTCTGGGTTTTTAATATACTCACCAAGGACTTTGGAAATTTCCACCCACGTATAAGTATGACAATGACATTAAAACCCTTGAAAAGAACAAAATAGTTATTGAAGAATAAATACATGACTCATTAACCGTCCTTATTTGATCAGACCTCGTAGTTTGGATAAATATGAATACTAATTCTACTGTGTATACTTTGAGCATTTATTCTGGGACTTCAGACGGGTCTTCTGTAATATATTACAAGCTTAATGTTTAAACAACACTTTAAACACGATAAATCACAGCATATGTTTTTTTTCATAATTTAAATTTAAAAAATTATGTTTCCTGATTATATTTCCTTTCCCCACATCCCCACTCTCATCCTCTCAACTCTTTCAATGGTGTCATTTAGGTTTATATTGCGCTGTTCTGTTTATTATTGTTATTTCTTGAATTTCCGTTATGCATTGCCTTATTCAAATATTTAAAATGCAAATTGTCATCTGTGTTAAATGTTTAATGTTTTTTTCGTACTGTATTTCATTTTGTTGTTGCTTTTGCTTTGAACATTTTTAAATTTTTAATGTTTGCATGCTCTACGCTTTTACTCGTGCAACGTCAAGTACTTTGTTGACTGACTGGATGACTGAATGACGACGCTTGTGACTAAGAGTACTACTTCTAAAAATGTACCCTAACGAGTACACAATTATTAATTATAAACGTGTGTCCATGTGGGAGAGTGAGTGAGTATACGTGAGTGCGTGTGTGTGTGTGACAGAGTCCGTGCCCGAGTACAATGCAAATACAAAAATATATATTTTATACAGATAGGTCTTGGAAAATGGAGAAACACAAACTATTCCTTGGTTTCTATAAACGTAAATTTTAGGGGAAGTTGGTAATGGGTAAGGGTGGGTAATAGTATGTATTTATATATACAATATTGAAAAATTTTAGTCCTTGCTACTCAGGCTACAATTTCAATATTTTATATTCCTTGGACAAATATTTTTTACACAACAAAATTTTAAATATTAGTAAAATACATTTTACACAGGCCTACCTGTAGTCATTTCCCCCATTAAAACAATATAGCCTGGCTAACATTCCGCAACAATCCGTTCAACATATTTTCACATAACTGAACAACAATCGCTTTGTGGAATGCCAGCTCCATATACGAGTATATGGGGTAATAATGTATTAGGCATGTTCGTTCTGCCTCATACTCATATTACCACCGCCACCATAATTTTAAAGAGTTACACTATTTTTTTGCTTTCACAAAAATTTAGTTCATGGTTATTGTGGTTGGAAATTGGTAGGTTCTTTGGCCGGGTGGAGGCT